CGCCCCCAAACTGCTACCAAGAAGCCCCCAAACTGTCTCCCAGAGGCTCCCGAGAGGCCAACCATGAGATCCTAACCAACATCCACGAGATCTCTTACCCATTACCCAGGCCCTCGGCGAGATTGCCCGCAGGCCACTACTGCCAGTTCGGGGACCCTACGTATACCAGTACCCGCACCCTTGGCTGTATCGGGGGCCTCACCGCTGCTCTCTGGGTTCTGCTGGCTTCGACCTGCCAGAGCTCTGAGCCGCTCCCCGACGCCCCCAGGACGCCCCTGGAGCGCTCCCCGACGGCTCCCGGACCCCCGCATCGCTCCAAGACGGCCCCAAAGACGTCCAAGAGAGCCGAAGCCGATCCGGCCAGAGCCCCACGACGGCCTCGAAATGCCCCAGAGACGTGCCTCGAGGGCCCCGTGGACCATGCCTTGAGTTTGGGGTGATCGCGCACAGTCCCAGCGCGATTAGCAAAAACCCATTCCTTTTCACGCTTCCAGGTCAGTGCCCCCGTGGCTCCCCGACTGCTTTCTGGGATCGCCCCTGGACGTGGCCCCTTACACGTCGGCCCCACGCGTGGCCTCCAAACGGGACCCCCAAAGGCGGCCCCCACACAAAGCCTCCGAAGGTCGCCCTGCCGCCCCAGTAAGCGTGGCCCCCGAACGTCAACCCCACGGGTAGCCCCCAGGCGCCCCCAAACGTGGCCCCAAGACACACAGCCCCCAACCATTGCCCTCAAACGTGACCGTCACATCTGCCCTCGAACCCCGCACCCTCAAACGCGACCGTCACATGTGCCCCCGAACCCCGCACGCGGCCCCCAAACATGGCCCCCGACAGGGCCGCGAACGTTGCCCCCAATCATGACCCCCTGACGAGACCCCCCAACGTGGCCCTCGAACGAAGCCCCCCCACGTAACGCCCAACTCTGGCCCCCACGCGTCCACCCCCCACATCGAACTTCTCGCGCACAGGGACTCTGTAAGATCGTTCGGGCCCCCTTACTCTGATTGTGTCTGAAAACCTACGTGTTTCTGCTAATCGCGCCCAGGCCTCGCGCGATTAGCAAAAACACATTACTTTTGACGCTTCCAGCGCTTCTGGCACGTGCGCGTTCGGGAACAACGCTTGGACCTGCGGGCCGTGGATTTTCCACGGGTTCACACTAGTCAGCTACAACGCCGGGATCAGCGCGTGCGAAAAGTGCGCGCTGTGGCAGCGGGCTCTGTCGCTGCTGAGCGAGATGTGGGAGGCGAAGCTGAAGCCCGACGCCATCTATCGGAGGCGACGATCAGGGCGAGCAGCCTGGGGAAGAGCACCACGCATGTATCAAGGAGGAGCGCCGGTGGTCCATATGCCCTCGGCGCGGCTCCCGGGCGAACGCGTGCAATGTTCGCCCCGGGGCCATTCGCCCCGATCGTCGCCACCTGATCTATTCGAGCGACGCAGAGTAAGCGTAGTCGTCTAGGCCGAGGTTGGCGCGTGAGGTGCCCGCGTAAGCTCACGCGTCTCCGATGTGGCGTGCCGCGCTGGCGGCCCGCGTAAGCTGCGGCGTAAGGTCGCTCCGCCATCTCGCGTAAGATCCGTTTCTGATCGTCGCTCGTATTCAAGCAGTGGCTAAGCGTCCCTGCTCGCCTATAGGCCCACCAAAGCATGTTCTAGGAACCTTTTGGTGTTTGCACGAAGCGTTCTTAGAACACCTCTGGCTGAGCCTGCCTTGTGTTAGCACATCGGGCTTATCATGTTCTGACAACCTTGTTTTTGTTATTAGAACATTTGGGGATTCTGAAAGCATGTCGTGGAGGAGGAGGAGGAGGAGGAGGAGGAGGAGGAGGAGGGAGGAGGAGGAGGAGGAGGAGGAGGAGGGGGAGGAGGAGGAGGAGGAGGAGGAGGAGGAGGAGGAGGAGGAGGAGGAGGAGGAGGAGGAGGAGGAGGAGGAGGAGGAGGAGAGAGGAGGGAGGAGGAGGGAGGAGGAGGAGGAGGAGGCGGAGAAGGAGGGAGGAGGAGAGGAGGAGGAGGGAGGAGGAGGAGGAGGAGGTGTCGTCTTGGCGGGCCTCTGGGGCTGCTGTTGGCCACCTTCGAGGTCGCCAGGGCCGTCTTGGGCCTTCGGAGGCGCGAGACGGCGAAGAAGCTGAGATCCTTCGACCACGCATGGAACATGTCACCCTCCTCTTGCCATCGCGCCGACGTCCATTGCCCGTGCATGTCTCGGTTTCGTGCATGTGTTTGTTCCCGCAAGATGACCCCAATGGCTCCTCGATGATCCTCGCCGCGGAAGAATGCTAGCGTCCGAGCGATGCCAAGCCTTAGGTCGGACATGTCGTCCTACAGGCGGATTCGGGAAGAGACGCACATGCATAATCCAAACGTAACCAGACAGTTCTAAGAGAAGCACCCACTGTTTTTTGGTGCTCTTGAATGTTCCCCCTGTGGAGGGACGTGCCTGGGGGCCTTGAGACGGGGGTCAGTGCAAACGGGGGTCAGCCAGAGCGCCCTCCTCCCCTCCTCCTCCTCCCCTCCTCCTCCGCCTCCTCCTCCTCCTCCTCCTGCCCTCCTCCTCCTCCTCCTCCTCCTCCTCCTCCCCTCCTCCTCCTCCTCCTCCTCCTCCTCCTCTCGAGAGAGACGGGGATCCATGCAAACGGAGGTCGACTTCGGCTTTTAGGGCCCTCCGGGAGGGCCGCCTCGGAGGCCGTCCGGCGGCGCAGCGGGCCGCGCCTCGGAGACGGCCCGGCGGGGGCCCCTCGGGCCGAGCTGGGGCCCCGCGGGGGCCGTTTTTCTAGGCCTCCTAGATGGGGTCGGAGTAGCTGGGGTCGGAGGATCGCGCCGCATCGCCGATGCATCGCCGATGCGGCTCGATGTAGGGCCCGATTTGCTTCAGGTCGACGTCGCCAATGCATCGCCGACGTCGACGATGCATCGCCAGTGCATCGCCGATGCATCGCCGATGCATCGCCGATGTATCGCCGATACTGCGCGATCCTTCGACCCCATCTACTCCGACCCCATCTGGGAGGCCTCTAGTTTTGGTGTTCTCCTGGGGGGCCGCTTTGGGCTGCCCATGGGGCCCTCTTGGCAGCCGATGGGGCCGTCCTGGGCCGTCGGAGGCGCGAGAAGGGAAGCAAGCTGGAATCCTTCGGGTTCTCGGGGGGGCCGCTTTGGGCTGCCCATGGGGCCCTCTTGGCAGCCGATGGGGCCGTCCGGGGCCGTCGGAGGCGCGAGAAGGGAAGCAAGCTGAAATCCTTCGGGTTTTCGGGGGGGCCGCTTGGGCTGCCTCGGCGCCATCTAAGCAGCCTGTGGGGCCGCCCTTGGCCGTCGGAGGCGCGAGAGGGAAAGCGAGCTGAAATCCTTCGGGTTCTCTGGGGGGCCGCTTGGGCTGCCTTGGGGCCCCCTTGGCGGCCTGTGGGGCCGCCCTGAGCCGTCGGAGGCCCCTGCACAGCTCAAGGGTCCCCGCTGGGTGACGCCTCCAGGAGAGGCGGCCTGCCGCGCCGCAGCTGGCCTCCGAGGCGGCCCGGGACGGTCCAGGATGGCCCGAGGCGGCCCCGGAGGACCCGAGAGACCTCCCAAAGTAGGGGAACAACCAAGAGGCTGTTTTTCAGGGTCCCCTGAGATCCTGGCGTTGCATTTTTTCCACAACGGGCGTTTTAGTTCAATTTCGGGCACCGGGACCCTCACAGATTGATCCAGCTCGAAAAATGACGCAGAAAGATGCGATCCAGGGTTTTGCGATGTCGCATTTTTTTTGGCAACGTCGGATCTCAGGGTTTGGAGGGTCCGGCGGTAACCCGGGTTGTCGGGCTTGCCCCCCCTCCTCCCCCCAGGATAACCTGACCTTGCCGGTTGTGCAGGTCTGGGGTGGGGGGGCGCGGGCATATGCAGGGCTGCCCACAGCGCGAAGGTTAGGTTATCGGCCGGCCGTTTCCTCCCTCCTCCCCCGGATAACCTGGGCTATCGCTGATCAAAAAAATGTCTCCAATGACTAAACACAAGAACTCGAAGGTCCACGGGGGGCAGGGGAGCGCGCAGGGGGCGGCGCTGGAGGCGCCGCCAGGGGGGGTCCAGAGCCGATGCCAGAAATCCGTGCGCGGAACTCCGGGTGTGCGTGTTCGCGTCATCGCCTGTTCCCGGGAGAGCTCGCCCAAGATGCCCCCAGCACGGATCCGCCTCTCCTGAGCCTGGCAGGGGGTCCGGGGGCCAGAGAGACGCCCCGCCCCCCCGCCCCCGCACTGCCGTTTGGCTCAGCCCTCGGGCCCCGGGCGAGGGGGGCTCCTCCTCGCCGCCCGAGGTCGGGAGGGCGCCCGCGGCAGGCCGTGGGCGAGAGCCCCGCGGCCTTGCGTCGCCGGCCCTGCTCCGTTGCGGCTGGGATCGAGCTCCTTCCCGAAGCGCCGTTGCCCTTTCTCCTGAAGTCGGGCCTGTCCCTCTACAGGAGGAGTGCTCACAAGTAAAAGGGTCTGGGGACGAACGACGTCTCGAGTACCTTTGACCATTTTCGGGCATGGTTGGGGTGACTGTTGTGTGTCGTCCAAAACCCGCCTGTGAAGGGGCACACGCCCGACCTGATTTGGTTCCGGCTGGCGCAGAGAGGGCCCGGAGGTGGCCTCCAAGCGGCCCCGAGGGGCCCCCGCCGAGTCGGGCCCCAAGAGGGCCTCCAGGGGCGCCGCCGGCACAGGTCCGCAGAGGCTCCCTCGCCTGGAGCGCCCGCGAGCGTGCCCGGGAGGGCGCGCGCGAGTCTATACTGTATGGCCGGAGGAACCGCGTGCCGGAAGGAAAAAGGACCAGATGGCCGGAAACGGCTCCGAGACGCTCCGGAGGCCGCCCCGACGGCCCAAAGACGGCTCCGAGCCGCTCCAAGACGGCTCCGACCCGCTCAAGATGCCCCGAAGGCGGCCCAAGAGGGCCCCGAGACGCGCAATGATCCGGCCAAGACGCCCGAGATTGGCCCAAGACGGCTCAAGAGCTCCCCAAGACGGCCTATTATCAGCTACAGCAGCGGCATCAGCGCGTGCGAGAAGGGCGAGCAGTGGCAGTGCGAGAAGAGCGGGCAGTGGCAGTGGGCCCTGGCGCTGCTGAGCGAGATGCGGGAGGCGAAGCTGGAGCCCAACGTCACACAGCGGATTGCCCATGCCGAGAGAGTCCCTGCTTGCCTCCATTGTGGTCGAGCTCCTGCTGTGTCACAACGGTGCCAGGCCGCCTGCGTGCCGGAGGGGTGCGCCTCCCGAACCCCCGAGGCCGCGGCGTCTCCGCAGCCTCGCTCGCCGTCCTGGCCCAGGAGGCACGGCCCCAGGGAGTTCCAGCAGGCATCCCAGAGCACCCCAAGGCGGCCCCAGATGTCGAAGGAGAGAAAACGCTATAAAAAAACATAAACTTTGGGCGCTCCGCGCGGATTTCTCGGATCCGCGCTGGGCCCCCCCCCCGTCGGCGCCTCCGGCGCCGCCCCTGGCGTGCGGAGCGCGCTAGAGAGGAGGTGCCCAGCGCAGATCCAAGAAATCCGCGCAGAGGGGGGGCCCAGCGCAGATCCAAGATGTTTGAGTTGATTCCAGGAAGGAAAAACCACCTGGGCCGGACAATTGGCGTTTGCTACGCGGCCTTGGGCGTTCACTAAACAGCCCTGCCCTGTCCGAGTCCCTCAGTGGGGGCGGTTAGCAAACGGCTTCGCGTGTCGGGGTGCTTCTTCTGGGGGTGGGATCGTTTGCCCTCTGTTTACGGCGTCTCTCTGCTTCTGAGAATGGCCTCCCGATGGATGGCGTCAGTCAGAGCCCCGAATCATCAGGGATAACTCGGGTCAGGGCTAACTCGGGTTCGTTTTTCGGGGTTCCGAACCCGAGTTACCCCGGACCCGAGTTACCCCGGATAACTCGGGCGTCCAGAGCCCCGAATCATCAGGGATAACTCGGGTCAGGGCTAACTCGGGTTCCTTTCCTGGGAATCCGAACCCGAGTTACCCCGGACCCGAGTTACCCCGGATAACTCGGGCGCCCAAGTCAGGCAGTGCCCGGCGGCGGCCCGGGAAGGGTCCCCCGAGACGGCCTCCGGCCCCCCCCCCCCCCCCCGAACGGCCCCGACCCGTGCGGGACGGCTCGTGGTGGCCCGAGGGCCGCCCGGGTGGCTCCGGGAGGAGGAAGGACGGGAGGAGCAGGAGGAGGAGGAGGAGGAGGAGGAGGAGGAGGAGGGGGAGGAGGAGGAGGAGGAGGAGGAGGAGGAGGAGGAGGAGGAGGACGAAGATGAGGAGGAGACCGAGGAGGAGGAGGAGAGGAGGAGGAGAGGAGGAGAAAGGAGAAGGAGGAATAAGGAGGAGGAAGAGGAGGAGGAAGAGGACGAGGAGAAGGAGGAGGAGAAGGGGCCCCATACGAGCCCGAGAAACCCCAACTCAGGCCCCCAAAGACCGCCTGACTTCCCTGAGACACATCCCGAAAGGCCTCCCCTCACGAGGCACCAAGAGACCTCCACTCGGTACCTTCCCACTACCACCTCTTCCTTCCTCGCCCCTCATTTCAGCCGTCGCTTCTTGCTGATCTTTCCTCCCTCGTCGCCCTTGGCTGATCGCCGAGCACTCCTCGCTTCTGCCCCCCTCCTCGAGCGCCTCACTCCTTGCGCCTCGCTCGTAGATCCTCTCCCGGAAGCAGCGCGAGGCAGCAGAAGTTGCGGAATACAGCAAGAGCAATCAACAACAACAACAACAACAACAACAACAACAACAACAACAACAACAACAACAACACCAACAACATCAACATCAACATCAACATCAACATCAAAATCAACATCAACATCAACATCAACACCACCAACAGCAACATCAACATCAACAACAACAACAACACCAACACCACCACCACCACCACCAACAACAACAACAATAACAACAACGGCACCAACACCAACATCAACAACTACACAACAACACCAACACCAACAACAGCACCACCAACAACAGCAGCTACAACAACAACACCAACATCAAACACAACACCAACACCAGCAACAGCAACCATAACATCAACAGCAAGACTGTTCGCTCTTCACTGCTCGCGTGCCATTCAACATTTTCATCCCAAACTATCGATACCCACCCTCCTCGTCTTCGATCGTATCCCCTTGGGGGTATATCTTTCTTACCTGCAACGTTCATTCCGTGCAGTACCGGAGGCAGGGGAAGAGAGGACGGATGGCAGGAAGGGACAAGAGGGAGAGAGGAGGATGGAGCCCGAGCACATTGGGGGCTAGGTGCAGAACACACGTGGCAGAACCAGACGGGCAGATCGGGCGGGTATACCCTGACAGGCGGGCGCAGGAGGCCAGGTCGAGCAGGCGGGTTGCTGAAGCTTGCGTCCTGCATGAATCGCGAGGAAGCCTTGAGCGACATCGCGATTCCAACATAATTCTCGTGAGGGAATCCAATGCCAGAGCGTGATGCTGAGTTTCGAGGGCGCGGCGCTTGATTCAATTGCGAGGAAGTCTTAGGCGACAGCGCGATTCCTGAGTTTCGAGGGTGCGGCGCCTGATTCAATTGCGAGGCTGTACCAGGCGAGAGCGCGATTCTTGCACACATCGCTAGGAAGTCCTTCGCGAGAGCGCGATTCTACATTACATCGCAAGGATGTATCAGGCGGGAGCCGTCGCTGTTGTCGTAATCCGGGGGCCAGGGGCACAGTTTGAGCAGGAAGTTTTTCTTTTGTAAAAGCACAGCGAGCCCCGGGAGGGGCACTTCAATTGAAAAACATATCTGTTCTGCGACTGTGTGGGTCCTGTAAAATTTGCTAGGAAGTCTTGGGCGAGAGCGCGATTCCCATTTAAAATATGAGGAAGTCCCAGGCGAGAGAGCGATTCCTTAATGGCGAGGGCGTGGCGCCTGAATCGATTGAGAGGAAGTATCCGGCGAGAGCGCGATTCTTTGATACATTTAAAGAAGTCCGTAACAAGAGCGCGATTCCTCAGTAAGTTGCGAGGAAGTATCAAGCGGGAACTCTTGTTGTTTTGGCTGTTTTTGTAAGCCGGGGGCCATGGGCACAGTTTCAGCACTCATTCGTCTTGATAATTAAAAACAGCATGCGATTCCTGGAAGGGGCACTTCAATTTTAAAACAGACGTATGGTACCGGAGGGGGAGCAACAATACTGAATCTTCAATAAGGAGAGTTCAGCAGCAGCATTCAGTTTAGTATTGTTTACTCTTACCTGTTCGCGTGCTCGCCAACACGCATGTCCCAAACCCTCGATACCCGCCCCTTAGGGGTATATGTTTCTTACATGCGACGCGTATTTCGTGTAGCCCTAAGGCACAGGAAGAGCGGACGGTGGAAGGAAGGGCCAAGTGGCAGGCGGGATGCTGAAGCGTGAGTCTTGCATGAATCGCGAGGAAGTCTCGAGCGATCGCGCGATTCCCAATTACATCGTAAGGAAAGCCAGAGCGAGTACTGTGTGTCGAGGCGCGGCGCCTGGATACATCTCGAGGGGATCCATCGCGAGAGCGCGATTCCCGTATACATTCTGAGGAAAGCCCACGCGAGAGTGCGATTTGGGAATCCATGTGAGGAAGTTCCCCGGCGGGAGCCGTTGTTGTTGTAGTTCGGGGGCCAGGGGCCCAGTTTGGTGACATCGCATTTCCCCTTACCTAAAAAAACAGGGTGCGAGACATGGGAGAAGCATTTTCACTGAAAGACAGAATGGTTACCGGGGAGAGGGGGGGTCAACACTATGGATTCTGTAGAAATGCAAAGTCAACAACGATAACAACACATCTGTTTAAGACTGTTCGCTCGTATCTGCCCGCGTGCCATTCGACACGTATATCCCAAACTATGCCCACCCTCCTTGTCTTCGGTTGTGCCCTTTTAGGAGTTTATCTTTCTTATCTGCAACGTGTATTTCGTGCAGCCCATAAGGCAGAGGAAGAGAGGACGGATGGAAGGAAAGGACAATTGGGCAAGCGGGCTGCTGAAGAGCGAGTCCTGCATGAATCGCGGGGAAGTCATCCAGCGGCCCAGTTTGGTGACAGATCAGTTTCCTTCGTAAAAAACCGGGTGCGGGCCACGGAGAAAGCTTTTTTTTATTTGAAAAGCAGAAAGGCTACCCGGAATAGGGGGATCAACCATATTTGTTTTCGGTACAAATGAGAATTCAATCATTTTAAGATTGTTCGCTCCTATCTGCCCGCGTGCCATTCAACACGTGCATCCCAAACCCTCGGTACCCGCCCTCTTCGTCTTCGATCCTACCCGCTTGGGGTTAGATCTTCCGTACATGCCACGTGCTTTTAGTGCAGCCTCTAAAACAGGGAGAGAGAGAGAGAGAGAGAGAGGACGGATGGAAGGGGGAGGGAGAAGGATGCATCTTGAGAGGCATTAGCAGGAGGGAGCCTAGGAACAACAATCACCAGACGGGCAGATCAGGCGGGCAGACCCTAGCGACCTGGCAGGCGGGCACAGGCGACCAGGTCGAACAGGCGGGTTGCTGAAGCGTGTGTCCTATATGAATCGTAGGGGGGGTCTCTTAGCGATCGCGCGATTTCCGATTCAATCGTGAGAAAAGGCCAAAACATGAGAGTGATTCCTGAGTGTCGAGGGCGCGGCGTCTGCATACATCGCGAGGAAGTCCCACGCGAGAGCGCGATTCTTGCATACATTGTGTGGAAGCCGCGCGCGAGAGCGCAATTCTCAAATACACTGTGAGGAAGTATGTGGCGGGAGTCGTTATTGTTATAGCCAGGGGGCCAACAGCACAGTTCGAGCAGGAAGATTCTTGCAACACTGGATGCGAGCCCCGAAAGGGGCACTTTAATCGGAAAGCGCAAAATTGCACCGCTGTGGGTGAGAGTTCAGCAACAGTCATGTTTTTTGATACCGATTGCTCCTATATGCTCGCGTGTCCCTAGACATGTATACACCAAGTAATCAATACCCGCCCCCTTCGTCTGCGATCTTGCCCCTTTGGGGATGTATCTTCCTTGCCACATGTTAATGACGCAGACACTAGAGGAGAAGGGAGAGAGGAGGAGGAGAGAGGAAGGAAGAGATAGGAAGAGAGGAAGGATAGAGATAGGGTGGGAGAAGGATGGAGCACGAGAGAAATCAGCAGGAGGGCGGCAAGGCTCAGGAAGACAAGCGGCAGAACC